AAACAAAACTGTTCCTCAAAAATAAGTAGTGATCGTCAGGATGGAAATTATTGAGCTAATTTTAGTTTATGTGATGAATTACGCAAATGCAACAGGTTTATGTTCAGTCCATTATTAACCACAGAAAAGATTTGAAAGAGCATTTTTCACTCTTTTTTCCCTGTGGTGTGTAAATCAAATGAACAACAGATTGCATATCTGTGTTTTCACCTTCTTTCCAAGCATTGTATGTGTTGCATTAGCTTAAACCATATTTCAAGGCCAAACAATATATTTGCCTTAAAAATTTAACAGTTTGAAGAGTGTGACAGGCAACGTTCATGGGTTTAGGCCAGTGCAGATAAACTCTTGTGAGTAAACAAAACACAGACTAATTCTGCATAAAAAAAAGTCTCTAAAAGAGACTTTCAGCTGCTTCCACTCAATCTGTGTTTGTAGGTTTTACATACTCTGACTCACTTATATTAAGTAAATAAGCCACACCCCTGAGTTTTAGCTAGAATGCTAAATCTCTGCATTATAGCACTCTTGGAGTGATAATATTTACAATTGTCTCATAAATCTCAGTTAAGGTCAGTAGTCATGATTTAACAATAAGAAAGGAGACTGAAGAAAAATAACAGCATTCAGGAGAGTTCCAAATCAATAACCACTGCTGACAGAAAAAAAACCAAAAACAAACAAAAAAAAGACATCTCATATTTTCTGAACTTTTGATAAAATATTCTGTCGAGAAAAAAGTGGACCCATGAATTCAGCTCTCTATTTAGACAATCTAGCTATGTTAGGTGTTGACTACATTGCCCTCTTGTGGAGAGATGCAAATATTTGCCCAGGAGGCTTCATTCATTCATTCATACACCCCCATGTCTGATCCACTCTGATGGGCAACACAACCTGACACACAGTAAACATCTGTGATCCTAACATGACCTTATATGGGCGTGCGTGCGAGTCTCCATAGATATGACAGGATGTGCCCTATGGAGGCCTGATTTTGTCATCCCAGATCACACAACCGAGCTGGTTATGTCCTCCGTTCAGAACACGGCTGTCCACCTATCAACAATAACAAACAGAGAAAGCAACTGTGGACGACTAGCTGTCCAGTCCACCACACCACGACCAGTTAGACCACAAGAGAGCAGAACCGGAATGACACCGGAGAGCGTGTTTTCACATGCGGATTGGAGTCAGCTGCCACTGAAACGTGAATGAAAAGCTTCAATGCGACAGAGAAAAAAAGTAAATAAATAAAACAGCAAGTAGACAGATACTACAGAGCAGGATGTGTCTCGATGTCTCTGTGCTCACTGTGTTGCTCCCCCAAACAGAGAGGGGAGACAAAAAAAAAAAAAAGATCTTCACCTCTGAGAGCAGGCCTCCGCCACAGCCCACATCCAGGATTCTCAGTCCTGCCAGCGGTTGTCCGGGGTGACGTTCTCTCTGCGCATTCAACAGATTATCCCTGAAAAGATGGCGGAACCGTCAAAAGTCTCACATTTAAATTTGCTGAAGAACAGAAAAGTTTTCTTTCAATCTGGATAAAAATTAACTCATGGTGTCTAATAAGTCCAATTTAAGACTTTTTAGGATCTTTTGTTAATGCCACTTTGAATTGAATACAAGACGGAAAAAACTAAATCGAGGGAATAGCTGTGGGATGATGATGTGTTTCAATCAAGCAGAACAAAAGTAGAGAAAACAAATGCCGTCCACCCAACTAACAATAAATTTGCACTTGCCAATGACGGATGTAAAAAAAACTAACTAGCAAAGATATTTTAGCAGCTAGTTAATGGTAGCCTGAACCGCTTCGAGTTACAGAACGCAATAAAGATGTCTCAAGCTTCTGTCTGATAGAGAGGTACAAGATTAAATAGTCCTGCCATGCCAAAATGTAAGACCTCTGACTAACATATTTAACACCAACTTCCTTTTTTAAAATGAATTTAAGACATTTTAAGGCCTTCATGTTAGATACATAAATGTAAGACTTTTTAAGGATCAACGGATACACTGTAAGAAGCAGGAAACCCAAGATTCAAAACACTTTTTAGTTGTATTTCAAAGTGTAAAACCCAAATACATCTTAAGAACTTGAACAAAGCAAGTCCATGTACGAGTTCACTACACTTATCTCATTCCGTTCCATGTGGTACTGGTTCAGAGGGGCTGAATACAAATGCACATCACGCATTTTTCTTTTCATTCCACAATTATGTTGATCTACTACATATATATTTTTAAAAGTCTGCAAAAAACAAACAACTAACCAAACCAAAAGACTGACAAACTCTCACCGTACAAAAGGCACCCTAAGGTCGTTCATGGCATGAAGGGCAGCAAACTCTCCCTCTTCATCCCACCACTTGTTGGCCAGCAGCTGGAACCTCTTCACCTCACCGTGGTCCACAGTGGTGTGGACGGCTGACCTAACGCTGCACATGGTTCAGTGGTCATTTTCATGTCAAACAAAAAGATATTAAATGTAGCTTTTGAGTCTCATTTTACACCAGCGTGAATTTAATGCTGCTACTTCTCAATGTCGCATTGATCTGTATTTAGAAATATAGAACAGATTTATTTATTTTACAGGAACAATCTGCTGGGTTTCCTTATATATAAGGCTTTTTTAAACTAAGTTGAATAATAAACTGAACTTGACTGAATTGTTTGGTAACTGAGATCAGTTGGAGTATATGTATGATTTGACTGAACTGAATTTTTAACTGGTTTGTGAATAGGCACCATGTAATTAAACTGAATTTGGTTAAATGGAACATAATATGTCTAAAAATATGTATATTTTTATCAACATATAAATTTAGCTAGTAATGAGGTTAATGCACCCATCCCATTAGGGGGAGGAGGCAAATTTATCTGATATTTCCTCACTCGGTCTATTTGTAATCAAGATAATCAAAAATGAATTGTTTCTGTAAAATTCTATGGTATTTGGGATCATTTTAAGTAGATTTTTCATTGAAATTTTTTAAATAATTTGCAAATGCATTAGCATTAGCGTGTTTATGACAACTAAAACAGAGTAGTGAAAGGGGTCCGAGTTTGGTACCCATATGGAGGACTCGTCGGGCAAAAAGCGGTGTGCACACTGGTAGTGTTAATATAATCCAGTGCAAATATTGTCTAGCAACAGTCACAATCAACTGTTGTTGATTATGACAACTGGTGGTATATGTAGTTAAATTGCTACATATACCATCAGTTTCGGCTTTTTGATGGTCCACGTTAGGATAACCAAAAATCGTCGGAACGCTCACTGGAAGACCTTGTTTTTCACACGGACACCGTACACGAGAGGCTCAGGTGGCTATCAAACCCATAGACATCAATACGTATTAATGTCTATGATCAAACCACCCCCACCCTCGGTTTTCTGTTAAGTACCCGGTCTGGTGCATCCCTGCACAGGCGCTCCTCTGCTGCCACAGTGTCCGCTGCTTACACACCGCAGCCCAGCTGAATCCGCTCCTAGCCGCCGTTCTCTCGAAGGCACCGCAGGCGGAGGTCACTTTAAGGCCCTTCAACCCGAACATGAGACGGCCAAGCTTGTTGGAGTACATCTCCCTACAGTCGTCAGCTGTGTAACCCTTCTTGTTTGTTTCTTCTTCTACTCGGTTTTAATGGCCTCGCGGTTGGCGAACTACAACACGGTGCATTACCGCCACCAACTTGCAAGGAGTGTGAATTAAGATAACAAAAATATTTCCAACCCTCTTGAATTTTTAAACAATCTTCCTTCCTTCACTTTTTCTAGCATTTTTTCTTTAAATTTTCTTTGAATGCTTTTTTTCTTCTTTGGCTGTCTGGTTGGAGCTGTGGGTGTCAACACGTCTCTCCATCACCTGGATGTGATAGTCACCCAGTTTAGTATATTTCCCAATTTTACATATTTTCTTAACGTTTTCCATTCTGAGTAAGTTTTATTGTTAGGTACTTTTTGCTCTCAAAGAGTGGACACCTTTACTATTGTGAACTGCCATTTATTAACGCCAGTTGACAAATGTCCATGTATTTTTTCTTTATAACTGAAATGCACAATACAGTAATGTAGTGTTGTACAAACATGACAAAAACTTGTAACTGATTTTGTTCTAACACACTTCACATTATAATGCAATATGGTCATATTTTTCTTTTGGTGTTACAATTTAACAATTTTTTTTAATATCTTTTTGAAACGCATCATATGGAAACTATCATATTTAACCCCCTTCCCTCTGCGCTCCCTTATTAGTATATATATCCCATAAATTTCCCGTATTACAACAGCTGCCACCTCTCCTTCACCCCCCTCTCTGACAGTTATGGGGATCAACTGATGAGTAATCCCTGGACCCTTGGTCTTCAAGTGTTGCTTCTCTTCCCAGTTGATTTCATCTTAAATTTGAATCTTTTGTAAATGTCAGTTTGGCATCTTCTAATTGTTGATCACTGGATGAGCCTTCATCATTTCAGTGACTTTTTATCAATCCAACTGAAACTGTTGTATGTTTCTCTGGTCTTGACTTTCATTTGAAACGTGTGAGATTTTAGATGACAACCTAGCATATTTAGGTTCTCATTTCGATTCTCTAACCCAACTTTTTAAATCCAAGCTACACCGTTCTTCCGAACTCTGACTGAACTCTGCAGTTATTTTGAGTACACCTTTTCCAATTATAAAGGATCTGCACATAAACTTAAGAGCTTCTTTTCATTTAAATCTCAAAGCAGGACTAACTTCTCACAATCCAAACTGGCGTTGTAAGACCAGGCAAGTGGCTTGTTTTTCCTCACCTGCTAAAGCTAAATCTACATGGACGAAGGCCACTACCTAATCACATTTCTAATAAACCATCTTCTGATTTGTTAAAGCAATGACAATAGCAGAATTTAAAATCACATGAGACAAAACAAGGAAGAAAACGGCTTTATTGGACATCGTACAACAACGTGAGAAGGGAAGGAAATGTTCATATTATGTTTTAAAACGGTACAACTTCAGATTTTAGTGTGATTAAACTCTGCATAATGAAATCTAGCATTCAAAATGTATTGTTCGTCAGTCACACTTTAAAAATTACAGCATATTTACAATAAAATAAATGTATGAGGGGGGTGTTCACCTACACAACTGCCTCTATAATGAGACAAGCCTGCTCAACTCATGGAATTTTAAGCGGGTGAAAGCACAGATCCAGATGTCGACTGTGCTCCTCAGCGTTTGCTTCGATGGGATGGGGATGCGGACCTGGAAGAGAAGCGAATGGAGCGACATTAATGATATATTTAGCGCTCAAAGCATACGCTACAACATGCAAAGACAAATTCTGCTTCCCAGCCATCATAGCAAAGAGACTAATGTCCTATAGGTCTCTACATAGGAAACTACCATGAAGACAGTGCAAAGCAACAAACAGTTTTACATTGTACTACGAAGATCCTCAAAGGCAAAAATGACCCAAGGTGTACTGAACATATGGCATAGAAAACCGTCATAAGCCCTGTATTGCATAACACTTGATTTTACACAGTTGAGCACTTTGCAGCAACGACAGTCAACATTTCTCTGAAAATACAAATTCAAGTGAGACACAACAAACAGAGTAAGTAGAGGGAATAAAAAACGAATACTACCTTGATCGTGACTTAGACTTGTGTTTGCGGCTTGCCTTCTTACCAGACTTGTGAGATTTTTCCACCGACCTTGACCGGCTACGTTTGGATTTCTTAGATTTCTTTTCCTTGCTAACTTCAGGGGTGGGGGATCTACTTGAGTCGGAGTCTGAGCGCTTCTTGCTAGCTTTGCTGGAGCCCTTCTTAGATGATTTGCTATCTTGCCGAGAGCGCTTGTCATTCTGGGAGTCCGTAAACGAGTCGCTCTCTTTCCTTTTCTTTGTCTTGTCGTTCTCCTCTGTAACGGAGATTCCTTTTTCCTTCTCCTTGTCTTTAGATCTAGGTTTCTCTTTCTTTTTGTCTGAATCTTTTTCTCTGTCTTTATCTTTCTTTTTCTTATCTTTTTCATGGCTTCGACTTCTGTCTCTCCTCCTCTCCCTGTCCCTGCTGGAGGCCTTTTGTTTGTGTTTGCTGCTCCGACTGTGACTGCTGTCCCTGCGCTCCCGGCTCCTCTTCCTGTCCTTGTCTCTAGCTCTGTCTCTGCTGCGACTGCGGCTGTCTCTGCCCCTACCCCTGCCTCTGTCCCTGTCTCGTTCCCTGGACCGGGACCTACTCCTGCGGCTCCTGTGCTCTCTGGAAGCGCTGCGCTCCCTCTTGTGGCGACCTGAGCGCTCTGCGCTGCTCCTCCTCCTGTCCCTGACCTTCTCGCTGCGGTGCCTGTGGGAGCTGTGGCTGCGGCTGCGCCGCCGGGCTTTGCGGGATGAAGAGCGACTACGCCGCCTCTTCCTTTGTGGGGACAAAGACCGAGAGGAGCTACGTGAAGACGCAGAGGAAGACGAGGACGTGGAGGAGGAGCGGGAGCTGCTGCGGCTGGAGGTGGAGCGGGAGCTGCTGCTGTGACCGTTGGCCGGGGAGTCACTGCCACCTCGCCTCGATTGTTCCTTCCCTCGGCCCGAGTGCTTGGCCTCATCACTACGGGACCCACGCCTGTCTACCACAGACTCTAGCTCCTTCTCATTTACTTCCTGTTTGTGTGCATTTTCTAACTGACCCTCATTATATTCCCCCTTTTCTCTGCTCAATCTCTCCTTCGCCATCTCTTCTGGAAAACACACAAAGAAAGATTAAAAACAAATGTAAGAAGAACCTTAGTTTTATATAAAGTTGTAGTAACTGGTTCTCACTTTGTATAATTTAAGTTTTTTCATTAAAGATACAGTAGGTAACTTTTATAAAAATATGTTTTTTTTACATATTTCTTAAAAATATCAAAAGAGCTTGACTGACGGCGCTAAGATCCTCCTCCTGGCTCTGATTGGTTGTTTCTGACTAAATTGCAGAAACAATTATGTTTCTGCAGTTTAGTCAGAATCTGTAGTTAACACAGGAAGCAATGGCAGAAGACAGAGTAGCTAAATTTTTTCACAGATTATGTCATTCTATTGTCATGACATAATTACGGTTTTAACAAATATGTAAAAATCACATTTTTATAAATGTTTCCTGTTAAAACTTTAATTTCTTTTCATGTAAACGCTTCTTTCAATATTAAATTAAGATAAAGGACATAAGGAAAGGAAGAAAACGAAAGAAGCAATGAAAAAAATATACGGAGGAGGAAGGAGAGTTATACAAAAGGAAAAAAAGTAAGGACACAAAGTAAGGAAGAATCATATTTAGTCATAGAGAAGGAATTACAAATATCTTTTCATACGTTTCCAGGCATGGAAAACACCACAATGAAATTCCACACTTTCAGACTGTAACTGTATTTTTTATAAAATTTTTCAAATTACATCTGCAGTCGTAAAATGTCTAAAGTAGCATTATTCTTATATCATATGTCATTTATGGGACCACATTGTAAATGTAGTTTATATCTAAGAAATAAGAGGTTAGACAGTCATAAAAATTATTTTATTGTACTTGTACGTATATAATTTTGTACTTTGGAAACTTTTTCTCCTTGCTTTGATGTGAGACAACAGGAAAAAAACCTCAATTACTTTTAAGTGCTTAAAAAAACCCAAAAAAACAAATTGAGACTCACCACGTGCAATCAGAGCTTCTTGTGCCAGTTTTTCCTGCAATTCCTGCTCTTTACGGCGGAAGGCGTCCTGCTTCGCTCGGATGCGGTGGTGCAGTTCTTCCTCGTCTGTCTCCGAAGAGTCAGACCCTCGAGCGCTGCGAGCGTCGTCCTCGCTTTCATCGGAGCCGTAGTCACCAATCCCGCCTGCCACAACAGAGCCCCCCCAGACCGTTCAATCGTTGGAAGGAAAACAAGATGCATTCTCACACAATTGGGTTCCAAATAACAAAACCGACTCAAACACAGGAACCCCCACGAAAGGCACTTAATCCTATGTAAATCTGCAGTCTTCACTGATAAATCTAAGAAAAAGAAAGCATGCTTTTGTGAAACTAAACAGAAAACATGTGCTGAACGATCTTAAAAAACTAATATATTTTGCCGTCATGTCTTAAAATTCTTATTGTTTTGCCCAATTTAACTCCAAACCATGATTTCTATGTAGTTCCCGTCCCCCCCTCCTCACCCCCCCAGCGACAGAAAAAGGGATACTCACTGAGACCGGTCAGAGAAGCCAGTGCACTTGACTGTGCCAGCTGTTTTGCAGGAGCTTTGATTCACATCAACAACAGGAACAACATGTTAAAACACAAACTGCCATTGTCTCTTAACGGAAGAGAGTTGCTAGAGAAGGGGCCACAGATTTAGCACTAGTCACAAGAGCTGCCGTTGGTAACAAGAGATTAAAGCAAAAATGAAAATATATACAAAAAGAAAGAAAGAAAGAAAAATAGAGAAAAAAAAGAGAGGGTTAACAACAAACTTCAAGTCAAACAGGGAAAGAAACCAATCTGTACTAATGCAGTAACTTCAATAAACCATGTCACTTGCTCCCCCTAGAGGTGAATTCAGTGACTACACACACTTTTTTTTCCATTTAGCTTTAGATTTTTCTTGAGATCATTTATCAGAGGCGTACTCTCTCTCCGTCTGGTGCATTAGCAGAGAATGGTTGAAAAAAAAAAAAGCATATCAGATAAACTCCATATGGTGCTCAATCAACTTTCTTACATGTGACTAGATTATAAACATTATAATGCACGTCATTTATCTGCAGATTTGTTGATAAAAAGCAACTGGTGATGATATGGAGAGGGAAAGGGGCAAGCAGACCTCGAGTGGCTTTTCTGTGAGTATCCCTGGCAACGTGCATGATCTCCTCGTTGGTGACTGTGAGGAGGATCTCAGTCAGGAGAGTTTTAGTGATGCCCATCTGTAGGAGGGATGTAAACAAACAGGTTCACGTTTAACATGGCTGCAGCTGGCTGTTTGTGATGTGGGGATGATGTGATGGAGGAACTGACCAGCAGCTCCTCCTTCAACTCGTCGGTTAGTTCTGGTTCGCTGTCCTCTGCCGGCGGAGACGGGCTGCGGGCGGCAAATTCTCGCTTCACGATTATCTTCTCTTCGGTCTCGTGCTCGTCATTGCCCTCGTCGTCGCTGTCCTGATTTCAAAGGTTAGCAGGAATTGGGAGTCGATACTACTTGATAACAAAAAGAAAATAACGCGCAAAATGTCCAGCATCAAGATCCAAAAAGATTCTTACAAATTTGCTCTTGCGGGGCAAACGGGGCCCATCCCCTTCCATGCTGACTTCGTGTTCTTTCCCGTCGTCCTTTTTCATTTCGGCGCGCTCCTTCTCCATCCGCTCTCGCTCCAGCTTCTTCTGCTTCTCCCTGTCCATCTTCTCCAGACCCTCTCGGATCCATGCTGGCAGCGTGCGGCGCTTTACAGCATCTGAAGAAAGTCGACATTAATGATGAAAGTACTTAATTCGTCAGAACATCTCTTCTTCTACTAATATTTGTGTCATGGTTTAATTGGTTTTCTTCCTGATTGTCCTGTATTTAGCTCCATCAGCTGGTTGTGATGGATTTTATTTAGGAATATGAGAATAAAGAGGACAAAACACTAATCTGCACTTTTCATTAGTAAAAAATGAAACGCACTTGCTCTCTTCGCAACCATGTACTACTCTGCAACATAAAGTCTCAAAAAATACACAGAGATTTGTGGTTGCAATGTGAAAAGGTTGAGGGACTGAATACTTTAGCAAGGCATTGAACATGTATTTAAATTCCACCAGGTTAACAAAGCAATGGATAGTGAAACTCACCTAGAGGTGCTAGAGGAGCCAGAGGAGCTGGGGCCTCTGGAGGCTTGACGGGGAGCTGGATGGGGGATCGGGGCCGGTCCCTGAAGCCAGGCGGTCGGGCGTCCCGCCTGCTCTGAGGGGGGCCCTGCCAGTACGGGGAGTGAAACCCCGTGGGAGTCGGGGGGAAGGACGGAGCTGCACCGTGCTGAGAAGAGATGGAACAGGCTGGAAATTAAAAACTGGACCGAAGCAAATGGAGCTCATCGTTTCTTCCATCACTGTAGTCGTTAGCTAGACGGCCAGGTTTCCTACCGGAACCTTCTGGAAAGTCAACGGTGGCCCTCAAAGGGCTTCATCTTTACATCTGGTTGTCATTTGTTACTTTATATTCAGAGAATTAAAGTTGCTTTTGATTCAGGCTCAGTTACAAACAGAAATATTCAGCTATAAACTCCTACTTGTGATTTTAAGATGTTAATCAAATGACGTCTGTTCTAAAGCTCCAAAACTAACGATTACCTTAGTGATTGATTAATCAATCAATTATTCTGACAATTAAATCGGACTTAAAAAAATACCACGCACTATAGATTTTTCATTTAAGACCGTTGTTATACAATATTAGAAATTCAGTCAAGTATACAAATAATTCAATTCCCTTTTTAAGTAAGAAAAGAAAATAAATATTTGATGGCTTGAATTCAACATAGCATTCTTTAAATGAATCTTTTATGCTGATTATTTTTGGAATTAATTGATTAATAATTACATATAAAGATGTGCTTAATATGGCATTTTTAAAAAACATCATTTTACAGAATTTGAACCAGGTGAAGCTAAACTGCCACCTGAGGAGGTTTAGGTCAACATATTTATAGAGAAAGAAGGATTTTTTGTTTATCTTAAATCCAAAATGTAAATATTTTTGGTATAATTTTGGCCTAATCACTGCTCTCAGTGTGTTTTCCTTTCAACAAATCCTACCTCTGAATCAGTATAATCCAATTAATCGGTTACTAAATTAGTTGACAATTACTTCACAATAAATTCATCACAATTAATCCGATTAATGGTCTCAGCCCTTCTCTGTTTTTAGGGGAACATAAACTAGACATGTTTGCACTTTGACACTAAACACCAGCATGAGGTTTTGCTGTCTCAGCAAATCGTCTCTGTTTTGCCTAATAACATGCTGGATGTCCAACTTCTATAAAAAGTTTGGGTGCCTCCCTTCATAAGTTGAAATTTGCGAAATGATGCAGAACATCTGCAGCCTGGAAACTTTAACATTTTATTAAACACTCCAAACATGCAGAGTGTGAAGCATTACATGTGGACATAGTCTCTGACACAGCTAGATGCTGGCGTCAAGCACAGACGTTGCGGACCACCTCTTCCTCTGCTACTCGCTTCTCACACTAAAACCCAACAAGCTTCAACAGTTTCTACCGCAGCATCTGCATACCTGATAATCAAACTGGTTCATGGCCATGGGGGCCATGGCGTAGCTGTCGGGCTGTGCCCCATACCCATGGCTGTTCTGGGGGTAACCCCCACGGTGGGCTTCAGTGTTGAACTCCACGCTGTCCTGGCTGTTGCTGTCCTCGCTCGGGGCCACCACGTCCATCGGGCCGGACCCTGGAGGGATCCAGGGCTGCTCGGGTGGAGGGGGCGGTGGAGGGGGAGGGCCCTGACCATGTATCCCCCACTCTGCAAGGCAACATGTCACCATTTACTCATTATATGCTTTCCACGATTTCCAGCAAATCTCATCCTTTATACTAATTTGTTCACACCGATTTCTGGATGAGCTCACGGTTTATTGAGGCTTCACTTAAAACGAGTTCAAATAGCTAAACATGTAATATTTGCAGCCCCTAGACTGCGCTCCAGCAGAGATGGAGACCTTTTTTTATTTTAATTAAGGCAAGATTATCATGGAGAAAATGTAGTTTTTTCCAATCAAAAACAGGTTAGGTTAAAACACGAAACACCTTTCTTTTAATATCCACTTTTTAAATTCTCTCATTTCATAGTAAATATGAACATATTCATTCAAATCCTGGCTTTATTGCAGAGTGTTTTTTTCCCCTATTTAATTAAATTGAACACAAAAGAATGTTTATAGAGAAAATGCTTTCTGTTGTAAGTTTGGACACTCCTGGTCTTCTGTCTGTGATTGTACATCTGCCACACCCTTAAAGAGTCACCTGGATGCAATTTGCTTAAACAATAAAAAAAAAAAAAGAAACTGAAATCACTGCCTGTTTTCATGAGCACGATTTATGCAGCTATCTTATAGGCAGAGGCAGGTAGTAACTAGTTACATTTACTCAGATTTACTTGAGTAACTTTTTGAAACGCATATCAGGGTTTCCCCCAGTGTATCATAAGCCTGGCGGCCGCCATGCTTTACCAACCCCACCGCCAGGCTAAGCGTTGCTTGTTTACGTTTCTAGGAGAAATTTTTTTTTTTTTTTAAAAGCCAGGCTGCAAGCGTCTCTTTTGCTCTAGCATTTTACTAGCAGAGCAGATTTATTCTTAAGGATAGGTTTATAATAGATAGGTTTATGCATTTAAACCCGACCAATCACACAGCTGGCGCTGCGCTGCTTTACTTCAGCGGGATCGCGCTGCCTCCTTTCACTCAAACTGGACACAGGCTGACCTGTATGGATATTTACATAAACCTACTGTGAGGAATTATGATCCTTTGGAGAACTCTAGGTAAGAGTTTAAAACTTGCCGCGTTAGCTCTGGTTGCGCAGCTCTATGTGAACCGCAGGAATAAGTTGTAGCGAATTCAGAGGCGCGTTGTGGAGGGAGCGGTGAGAATGATTTATCTTTGTGAACGAACAATTATATGCGGCGTTTACATCTCAACACACTGCCCAGCGTGTGGCTCTGTGTCTGTCTTCCCTGTAAAGCTTATATCTGTGGTCCCGGTTTGCCGGAGCGTTTGTGGATAACGAGCAGCGCTAACCTAATCATGCAGGTTCAGCCTGGTGAGGAGCTTTAACGCTCTCCTTGGAGTCACGCTTAACGCTGATTTTATATTATTTTATTATTATTTTTAGTATTATTTTTCCGGTTACACGATGCATCAAACCATATCAAATGCGTTGTCTACTTGGAGTTAATGCGCGCGGCCGCAGGAGATCTGAGAAACTCGTCCCATAAACTCGACCAACCAGAATAGTTTCTGTGACGACTAAAAACTCAACAGACACGAAATGAAAGAGCTACTAAAGCCACATTAGCAGCATTGAATTAAATCTCCCGTTTGTTGCGCATTTCTGCATAATGCAGCAGATTACCTCATCATGCAGGGCCGGTCTAAGGCTGTGTGAAGCCTTAAGCAGAATTTGATTTAGGGGCCCCTTTTGTTGCTAATAATATCAGC